TAAGGATTTGGATTTTTCCTAAATCATACAGTTTTTTCCCTGGATTTTGCCTTGTACAGTTGTAGCTCTTCAAGATTTGTACTATGCCCTGAACAGCCCACCAAGCTTTACTAAGTGTTTAACTCAGAAGCGGTTTTCTTCTGTTAGGGATGTTAGCTCCAATAAAATTCTAGGTGCGAACCTTTTTCTCCTTCATATCAACACTGGTTCTTTTTCTCCTTCATATCAACACTGGTTGGTTCATTTTGTTTGTTGGTTATGGCTGCCTTTTAGGTTTTGCGAACCCATGCTCTTGGGTTTGCCTGGAGGTAAAAGAAGAAAAAGAAAAAAAAAAGGCTGGAGGAAGGAGAAGCCATGGAAGAAGATGATGGTATATTGGTAATTAAAAATAATAAAATTTAGCATGTCATCAATTTTGCCACGTGGATTTTTCACGTAATTTAATAAAAAAAAGGAATGAGTGTTTCCGTTAATTAACGTGTCACATTAGTCAAAATTTAACGAAAGGACTAAAAAGGAGTCGGATTTGTGAACAATAAGGACCAAAAAAAAAAAATTTCGGTACATGGACCAAAAAAGAGTTTTTTCTATAGTAGAGGGACCAAAAAAGATATTTAACCAAAATAATGACACACCATGCCTTTTCCAGTGGGGAAAAATATGGTTTTTAATTCTAAACAACTGATTTAGGGGCCTACTTGAGGAACAAAAGCAGGCTGAAACCATCATCGTGTGGTTTTGTGAAAGTGGATTCATTAGCCACAAAAATATCCATGGCTGTTATTTGGATGTATGTTCTGCTACAAGGTCACAGCACTTTTTCTCATGGGCATATTGGTTAAAAATACAAATTTCTCATAATAATTAATTCTAATTAATATTTTATATTTTAAAAAAGTTTAATAAATATTATATATATTTTTTAGAAGAAAAAAATAAAAGACAAAAGATACTTATAATACAACACAACCTAGCAATCTCTAGCCAAGTCTGAACAAGATGATGCACTTTCCAACAAAAAATAAAAATAAAAATCCATACACAGATATCTCAGGCATTGTATTTCACATTCCGATATTATTTGTAACCTAGGCACTATGATTATAAGCAATAACAAATCCTTTTTATTTTAACTTAGATTATTTAAAATAATTAGAGTTCATCATTTTATAATTTAAAAAATAAAATAAAAGCCTTTATATAACTCTCTCATTTAAGAATCAACATTTTACAGTTTAGATTATAAATTACTATTTTCGTAGTAATAATACACAAATTCTGAAAAGATGAATATGCAGTTTCTTTCTCTATTCAGCTATGGTCCTGTGGAACCCTAGTCTTGAATCAAAGTTACTGAAGAAAAGCAAAGAAAGATTGAAAGAATACTGAACTTATATTCACTATATTCATTGGTGTACAAGAGATGTATTTGTATTTATAGAAAAGTTGATTGAGACTATAATTATGCCTGACATTAAGGAAGGCTCAACGGCACATTATTTGACCGTTGCTTTTGAATATGATTTGTCCCTGCCTTCTTGAGGTTGTTTCCATAATTGCTGAGCATGATTTCCTGATATTGTTTCCATATCTGCTGAGCTATCTTTCTCACGTGATTCATGCTTTGACAACTCCAGTTGCTGTGATTTCTCAATACTCCCTCTCAAACTAGAGTGGGGTGAAGCAGCCACTCCCAATTTGAACCAAAAGAATTGAAATTGTGGTCGAGGCAGTGGCTTTGTAAGTATATCTGCTAGTTGTTCAGTGCTAGGCATGTATCTTGTCACCAATGTACCAATTGCCACTTTCTCTCGAACAAAGTGGTAGTCTAATTCAATGTGTTTGGTCCGAGCATGAAAGACTGGATTAATAGACATATGGAGGGCACTTATGTTATTAGAAAACAATTAAGGAGGGGAGAGCAAGGGAATTCCAATATCACGAAGAAGATATATGTGATCCATACGATCTCAGCTATGGTGGAAGCTAATGCACGGTACTCTGCTTCAACAGTTGATCATGATACAGTTGGTTGCTTTTTGGAGGACCATGATATACAATTTTCTCCAAGAAAAATGCAGTATCCTGATGTGCTTTTTCTTTTAGTTGGATAGCCGACACAATCGGCATCGCAAAAACCTGTCAAAGATAAGGTGTTGCAAGAGTAAAAACGAAGATCATAGTGCAGTGTACCCTTTATGTATCTTAGGATGCGCTTAACATGGCGGAGGTGGGCAAGAGTGGGGTTCTACATAAATTGGCATACTTTGTTCACAGCATAGCATATATCAATTCGAGTGATAGTCAAATATTGGAGAGCACCAACAATTTTCCTATATTCTTTTGCATCAACCAGCTCCGTGTCTCTTGAAGCAGGATTTTCTTTGATAGCCAATGAAGTTGCAATTGTGGAAGCCTCAAGCATTGATGTCTGGCTAAGAAGATCATTGGCATATTGTCCTTGTGATAGGAAAATGCCTCCATCAAATGTAGTGACCTGTATTCCAAGAAAATGATTAAGAGTGCCAAGGTCTTTGAGTGCAAATTCTCCACTAAGATGATCAATGATTTGTTGTAGAAGCCTTGCTGAACTTGAAGTAAGAACAATGTCATCAACACAAAGGAGAAGTAAAGCAGTGACGTGGTTGATATGAAGTACAAATAGAGAGGAGTTTGCTTGGCTACACTTGAAACCCATTTTCAAAATATGTAAGGTGAAAGTATCAAATCATGCTCTCAAAGCCTGTTTAAGCCCATAGATGGATTTATTGAGCTTGCAGACATAGTTAGGATAACTTGGATCTTCAAAGCTTGGTGGTTGAGTTATATATACTGTTTCTTTAAGTTGTCCATGAAGGAAGGCATTCTTCACATCTAGTTGTCGAAGAGGCCACTTAAGGATGGTGGCTAGTGCTATAACTAAGCGTAGTGTTGTCGGTTTAAGGACAGGGCTAAAAGTCTCATCAAAGTCTACTCTTGTATCTGAGAGAATCCCTTAGCGACTAAGCGTGCCTTGAATCTATCCAAACTGCCATAAGAATGAAGCTTAGTTTTGAATACCCATATGGAGCCTACAACATTGATAGATGGTGAAGGTGGTGGAACCAGTGTCCATGTTTCATTCTTTTGCAGGGCAACTAGTTCTTCTTACATAGCCTTGACCCAGTGTGAGCTTTTTAGTGCTGTTTTGACATATTTCGATTCATGAATGTCAGGCCCTGCAATATGCAAAGAAAACTTATTAGTGGTCATAGTATGAGCATGTCTAGAAAAATTGGTCTTCACATGTCCTGTATGAGTTCCAATTCGAGTTCTAGTCAGCATAGGATGATGGGAAACCAAGCAAGCATTATGAGGTGGTGGAGTTGTTCCACTGCGTGCTAAGCTTGGGCTAGAACAACAGGTTCCTCAAGGTGCTGATGTCCATCTGTTGCTTCTAACGAAGCTGAGTTAAAGACTTCCGACAGTTGAGGAGATCCAGATTCTTCTTGGGTGGATGATGATTCTTTTGAATTAGATCCTTCGAATGATTGAGAAGACTTGGAATCCTCTTGAGTATTATTTAATTGAGTGCTGTCTTCTCTGGTCAGGATTTGTGATGATGTCACATTGGTTTCTTCTCGACAGGGATTGGGAGCACCTTTTATAGTTTCTTCAACATTGCCTTTAAGGTTGTTGCTGTTGTGATTATTTTCCTCCTCATTAGAAGTGATGGTGCGGTGTGAAGGTGTCAAGAAAGTCAACAACTTCTCATCCAAGTGCCTTGAAGGTTGTAAGTTTGTTGAGGCTTGAAGCCATTCATCACTGTCATGGTACTTGCATAATTCTCCATCTGTATTAACATCCTTTGAAAGCTTTGTAAGATCAATATAAGGCATAAAATATTCATCAAAAACAACATGCCTAGATATATAAATACGTTGAGTAGGAGGATGTAAGCATTTATATCCTTTTGTATTTGGCTGTACCCAAGGAAAACACAAGGTAGGGACCTCGGTTGGAGTTTGTGTGCATAATAATTTCTAAGGTATGGGAAACATCGACATCCAAAAACTTTTATCATTGAATAATCAGGAACCTTACCATACAGTAGATAATATGGAGTTCTATTGTTTAGTACAGAAGTGGGCATCCTATTAATAAGGAAAATAGCAGTAGAAAAACTGTCAGTCCAATAAGGCAACGACATATTAGCATGAATTAACATAGTTAAACCTATCTCGACGATGTGTCTTTGCTTTCTTCCTGCAACACCATTCTGTTCTGGAGTTCCAGGACAAGATACTTGTTGCTTGATGCCACAGTCTTCTAAGTGTTTAATGAAAGCACTATTAGAGAATTCTCCTCCACCATCACATTGGAATATTTTGATGCTTTTATGAAACTGATTTGCAACTATCTTCTGAAACTTTAGAAAAACACTACGGAAGTCAGATTTTCTATGCAAAGGATTAAACCATGTAAACCTACTATAGTCATCTACAAATATCACATAATAGGCAAAATGATCAATAGATTGCACTTGAGAAGGCCCCCATAAATCAAAATGTATTTTTTCAAAGGGTGAATCAGTTCTTTCATTATTTTTTGAAAATGGGAGCTTACAACTTTTCCCCATTTGACAGCTACTGCACAAATAGGAAGGCTTAGTCCAATTAGATACAATAATACTGTTCTTTGATGCTAGAGTTTTTAAAACACTAGAATTTGGATGTCCTAGTCTTTGGTGCCAAATAGAATCAGTAGCCTTATTTGAAATAACAGCAAGAACATGTTTTTCCTCTTCATCCAATGCATACAGTTGCCCTTTCCTAGTGCCTCTGGCTAGCACCGCCTGTGTTGCTTGGTCCTTAATCACAAAACCGTTAGATGAGAACTCAAAAATGCATGAATTATCATCAGTAAACTTACTAACAGAAAGTAAATTTTTCTTGACATTAGGAACCACTAGAACATCTTTAAGTTTTAAAGAACCAATGGAGGTAGAACCAATATGCGAAATTTGCAAGGGAGTTCCATCACCTGTTAAAACTTTTTGTTTACCACGATAAGGTCTTTTAGTATAAAGTTTACCTGTATCTAAGGTCATGTGGTCAATAGCTCTAGTATCAACATAAGTGTTTTGATCCTTGTCTTCCACCAGGCTTAACGTTGCAAGAGCTTGAGGTAATTCTTCACTTTGATATGCATGGTCAAATCTGTACCAGCATTTTAAGGCTGTATGGCCTGCAACACCACAGATTTGACACTGATTCTCACCTTGTTGGGTTGAATTTTTCGGTTGAAAATTTTGTGGTATGGCTTGTTGTGGTATAGGATTGTTGTTGATCATAGGATTCCTATGGTTGGACACATTATGTCAATAGTTTCCAACTTGAACAAATCCTCTACCTCTACAGTTGAAGTACCTGCTACCATTGCTTCTACCACGTTGACCTCTGCCCCTTTGTGCAACGAAGGCTTGGACATAGTTTGGAACTTTATCCTTGCTTTCCTGTTCAGCAACTTGCAAATCTCTTTCATTGTTCTGTAACCTTGCAATATATTGATTAAAGGTAGGATATGGGGGCTTAGATAAGACAGCAAGATTGTAAGGCTGGTACCGTCCCCCTACTACTCTGGAGAGTTGAAACACTTTGTCTAAGTCATCAACAGGCTTACGTATAGCAGCTAAATTGTCACAAGTTCTCTTGAATTTTCTTATGAAATCTTCAAGAGATTCATCATCTCCTCGTTTGATTGCTAATTGGCCTTTAAGGTGCAATTCTTGCTCTTTTGTTGATGCCAAATAATGTTCCTTTAAGCACTTCCAGATCTGAAAAGCTGAGTCACAGCCGACAACGAGGCTCAATGCTTCTTCATTCATGGTTCCAAGTAACCAGCTAGTAAGTAAGCCATCATTATTTAGCCAAATTGCATAGTCAAGATTGAGCTCTTCTTTTCCACCTTTGCTGATCATTGCAACTAGAGCCTCTTCTTCTAGATGATTTATGAGTTGAGCACTACGAATTAGTGGAAAGATCTATGATTTCCATAGCAGAAAATTTGTGCTTGACAGCTTGACCGACACAAGGCTTGCCATCTAGTGGAAGCTTTGAATGGTAAGCAAATTCTAGTTCTTTGCCATGAGTTTGATTTTCTTGTGAGTTAGATTTGAAAACAAGAAGAGAGTGAATTCATATGCAAAAGGACAAAACACTTGGTATTCAAATGCACGAAACAACCTGCTCTGATACCATGAAGAAAAGCAAAGAAAGATTGAAAGAATACTAAACTTGTATTCATTGTATTCATTGGTGTACAAGAGATGTATTTATATTTACAGAAAAGTTAATTGAGACTATAATTATGCCTGACATTGAGGAAGGCTCAACGGCACATTATTTGACCATTGCTTTTGAATATGATTTGTCCCTGCCTTCTTGAGATTGTTTCCATAATTGCTGAGCATGATTTCCTGATATTGTTTCCATATCTGCTGAGCTATCTTTCTCACATGATTCATGCTTTGACAACTCCAGTTGCTGTGATTTCTCAATAGTTAGGACTGCCTTTAAATTCTGCATGTACCAAATGGTTAATGTAGCAGAAGATTACTTGTATCCGAAGGGGAAAAAAAGCGTTATTTGCCTTCTCGTTTATCCTTTCTATATTCCCATGGCTTCTGAGGATTTGAAGAAGCCCATAAGCCAACTGGCTTTGCTCGAGCTTCTAATTTCTCCCACTGATATCATTCAAGTGCAAAAGATTTAGAATCGATATATACAATGAAGCAATACAATGGAAGATTAATGATTACTTTAGCATAACTTGCTATTGATCACTGACATCACGCTGTAAGCGGTGGTCGTAGGCTGAGTAATGCCATGCAAATCCTTTCTTGAGCATTACTTCCTGTTTGGCAAAGAACATCTGACTAATTTGGTTGACAACAAGTATGAAAGATGATTGAAGCTAAATCGACACAGTACCTTTACAAATACACCGTTGCAGTAGACATCACCCACACAACGACCATAACGATCTTCCCCATATACTAGAATTCTTAAAGACTTCCCTTGAACAAGCTTAACCAACTCTTCTTTTGCATCTTTCCCATATGGCATTCAACTCTCCGGTGCATTAATAACCCTAATTAATTTCAATAACTGTTAACTGTTAATCACTTCCATTATTGATTATACACAAGATTTATCCGACAGAAGTATTGAAACCCTGTAGCATGTAGCTTTACCTTAGTCGAACACGATATTTTCGAGCAAGGACCTCCTCATTTTGAACATTTGAAACCCTGTGGTTGAGAAGAGAAGCCCATCAGAAACAACTAGTTTAAGCAGAATTCATTTCTAGCAAGTTAGATCCCTACCGATGTCCCAAATCAGTGATTTTCTTGTGAAGTGCATCTGCCTTTGCATAATTCTTCTCTGTGCGTGCTTTGGATCTTTGAACGGCTGCAACCTGTACATCTCTTGGAACAATTGATGACTCCCCTGGATCAGTGGTACTAACGTACACTGTTAAGGTATCCCCATCTGGTACTGCCCTTGCATCCACCTGATTAAAGCAGGAGTAATTTCCACTTTAAAACCCTTTATCCAAATGTAATTCCTTATCTTAATTCTACGATCTGAAAGAGAGTAAGTACTAACCGGTAGTGTGTGCAATTCAAACTTTATTCCTTCAGGCAATCATGTTTGGAAGTCAGGAGAGAGTTCAACGAGTGCTTGAAGAAGGGGAAGACCAGAGAATTTCAGCAATCCCTATAAAAATCAGAGTACAAAACAATCCTTGAAATGGTTATTTCCTTGTTCTCTTGTTTTAAGGTAAATGTAACAAGA